GGGAGGAGGGGGGGCTGCATGCGACTGTGGGTTTGGGCAGGCAGCCGCAGCCACCGAGCCAGACTGGCTTTCCTCAGCACAGCTTCATTGGCAGAGACTCTCGAGTCTGTACCTGTACTCTGCAGAGGCTCCGTGCAACCCTTCCTGTCTTATTCCCTGCGCTCCCTGCAGGTACAAGGGCCTGCGCCGCAGGCGGCCGTCGCCGGAGGAGTTTGATGCCTGGATGGCAGAGGTCATGTCGGCCCTGGACGAGTGGAGGCCCCACTTGCTGGTACACTTCGAGGTGCACAGGGGAGGGGGCGATGAGGGAAATATGGACCGGTGTGCAGAGGTGCTGGGCAGTGGCGGCGACATTCTGTCGACGACGTTGCTGGCCGCGGCAGGGTCTGCTACACCTGTCATGCACATCTCTTCTCTCTGCACCCCTGGCCCACGCCAGGACTTTGGTAACCGTGACGCCTTCAGGCTGCTGGACACCTACAAGGACACAGCCTGCGTTTTCAATGATGGTGCGACCTGCCCTGGCAGGGCCGGTGCGCTTGTACACCTAGCACCGGCTGATTGTGGGTGGGGCATACCGCGGGAGTGCACCGTGTGTTGTTTAGTGATCCCCTTGGTTCATAGCAAGCTTGAGATCCGCAAGTTGCCGTTCAGACTGTTGTTGGAAGCAGAGGCTGTGTCCCCCTCACCCTGCCCTGCTGCCACGCTTGCTGTGCAGACATCCAAGGCACTGCCGTCATCACGCTGGCAGGGTTGCTGTCAGCTGCGGGCGCCACGGAGCAGCCGGACTTGAGCCAGCACCGCATCCTCTTCATGGGCGCCGGGGAGGCCGCTATTGGTGCGCTGGGAGTGGGATTCCTGGGCAAACACCTCGCTTGCTGGAGAGTTTCAACATCAGAGCAGGCAGGGGTCGAGGCCAACTCCGTCAATGCGCTGCTGCGCTTCAGCGACATTCGCCGTCCTCGCTCGATGCTTGCCCTGCACTCCCCGGCCTGTTGATGCTTCTGCCCCAGGCATTGCCTCCTTAATCGCGCACTATGCCCACGCGCGGCACGGCGTTCCCGAGAAGGAAGCGAGGCGAACCTGCTACTTTGTCGACACGCACGGTCTGGTGCGGTGACTGAGCTGCTTTTGGTTTGGGGGGGGGAGCGACCTGGGCTCAAAGTGTGCGTGTGCCCCAGTTGTGATTAACACCATGAGCAAGAGCACGCTGATCACCACTGCCTGAGATGCCTGCCGGCCCCCCCTCCCCGCCTGTTGTACTGTTAATGGTGCACCTCACAGGTCACTGTGGAGCGCAAGGACGGCCTGGCCCCCCACAAGCTGCCCTTTGCCCACGAGGGCCTGGAGCCCGCGGCCGACCTGCACGCCGCCATTCGGCAGCTGCGGCCCACCGCGCTTGTGGGAGTCAGCACCGTCAAAGGAGCATTCGATAGGCAGGCCCTGCAGCTGATGGCTGAATTCAACGTGAGTGGGCGCTTTGCGTTGCGCTTTCAGGGTGACGAGGCGTGTGTGGGAATTGTTTGGGGTTGGTGATTTTTGCATTTCCAGTCAATCGCTGGTGACACGTGCCCTCGTCAGACAGCTCATCAGCGTAATGTGTGTGTATATACACACTGCGCCGGGCCCTTCAACCTTGTGCCAATCTTCCACCTTCCCATCCGCCATGCCCGCAGCCTCGGCCAATCATCATGCCCCTCAGCAACCCTGACTCCAAGTGCGAGTGCACCTTCGAGGAGGCTTTCCGTGGCACAAATGGCCGCGCACTATTCGCCTCGGGCAGCCCCATGCCGCCATACACTGATGCGGACGGCAAGAAGCACACCCCAGCCCAGGTGTGGCGTTGTCGCTCGCCCCACCTTGCTTGCATTGCAATACGGTGTGTTTTGCTCACTTCCATCCCTTGTGCTTCTGACCCCAACAGACCTTGTATTTCTTCGCACTCCTCTCACCTGCCGCCAGGCCAACAATGTATACGTGTTCCCGGCGGTGGCGCTGGCCGCAGTCTTGGCGTCACCGCGGGCCATCACGGACGAGCTCCTGCTGGCGGCAGCCGAGGCCGTCGCAGGGCTCACCACCCCAGAAGATGCGGCGCGCGGAGAGTGAGTGGCGCATGATGGTTGGGACGTGTTGGGAGGGGCAAAGGTCAGTGCTGCGGCTTTCGATTGTCAGCACCAGGGGCAATCATTGATACGACAGAGCCTGGCTGTTCAGACGCACCGTGCACACAGGAGATAAGCGCGCTAGCAGTCGCTAGCCAGTGAGGCCAAAAACTAAAGAACATTCCGGCTGCCCCATTGCTGGCATCCTTGGCCCCTCCGCCCCCTGACAGCCTGTTCCCGCCGCTGGACAACATCCGCGCGACGTGCTGCTCTGTGGCGGCGGCAGTGGCGCGCCGCGCAGTGGAAGTCGGCCTCAGCACGCAGCCCGCAGGCTGCGGAGATGACTGGGAGGCCTTTGTGGCATCGCAGCAGTGGGCTCCAATAGCCGACAGACCAGGAGACGCACGCACTTGAGCGCCGCATGGTTTCTGGAGGGGTGGGGAGTCTGTGAGCCTGCAGCTCGACAACTGCTGGGAGCGCAGCTTCTTCCAGAATTGATGCGTAATGGATGCCAGACGCACCTCGGCTTTGGCTTCACTGTTGAACGCCTCCTACTCATGTGTTGTGATGGATTACACAGAATCGGCTCTCTTGGGTGTGCCTCGGGGTCACAAGGATGACCTGGCTGTACGCCACACATATGGCAGTACCAAGCACCCTGGGTCCAAATGCAAGCAATGTTGGTAAAATGTTGCGAAGCCTGATGTAAAAAGAAGACAGAGAATGAAAATTCTTGAGTCTGGGCAGGAGCAACAGAGGCTGCGCATTTGTCCCCTGCGTGTGGCAAGAGGGAGGCCATCACATAGCACGACAGTGCATGCTTGGGTGGGCCGGAAATCCCAGGCCTAGCCCCCCGTGAGGTGCAGGATGAGCGCGAGGTACTGCCCCGCCAGCATGAGGACCAGCAGGAGGATCAGCGCGCCGCCCCGAGATATGCGCCACCACGGCCGCGCCCCAGCCTGCTCCTTGCGCTGCCTCAGCGCAGCCCGCCGCGCCGCTGCCTCCTCGCTGTCGCTGCCAGCCTCCTCCTCTTCCGCTCCCTCCTCCTCGCTGGACGCGCCCTCGTCGTCGGAGGCGGCGATGTCGTCGCCCCGGGGCGCAGCGGAGTAGATGGCGGCAGCGCGCGGCAGTGTGGCGGCCTGCAGCTCCTCCAGCAGCTCCACCTCCAGCTCGTTGGCCTCAGACTGGGGGGCGCGGCGGATGCGGTGAGGGTGTGGGGGGCGGCATGTGCATGTGCGTGCTTCAACTGGTGTGCACACATGTTTATTTGCGGGCGTGTGGCCCACATAGAGTGCCAAAGCTCTGCAACAAGGCATAGAGGGCAGGGCGTAGGCCGCAGAGCCTGCAGCTGCTGTCGACCCCACAAGCAACGCCATCACCATTGCCCTCATCACCATCATCCCGGTCACCGCTCTTGTCCTGCCAAACACCACCCGATACTAGCCCCAGTCACCTGCACATCTTTCTCAGGTCCAGTCAAGTTGAACGCCCACTTCCCGCCGCCGCCTGCGGCCCTGAACAGCTGGAAGAATGACGCGCACGGCCGCAGCCGTCCGTCCCGTGCCTTGCGGTGCGTTGGGTCGCGCACGCCGGGCGCCCACTGGGGCGCCGCCAGCACCTTGCTACTGAGCAGCCGCAGCGCCGGCGCGCCGCTGGCGCCGACTCCAACGGTGAAGTGGTACGACTTGCGCAGCACTCGTGTCCCGGCCAGCTGGGGGCAGGTCTCCCCAAATTCCAGCTCCAGCAGCCCCTGGACCTGCTGCTCTCCACCACCACCCCCACCACCACCAGCGCCGCTGCTGGCGCTGCCGGCGCTGTCCTGTTGGACCTCGTAGCGCACGTCCACCAGGTGCTGCAGCACCGCCGCGTCGCGCGGCGTGATAGCCAGCGCCGCGGCGTCGATTGAGCGCAACGCGCGCAGCCAAAAGCAGCGCGGAGCGTCCTCGCCGGCGAGCAGGGCGCGGCGCTGAGCGTACAGGCCCCGCAGCTTCTGGGTGGCGGCGTCTGCCGCCGTGTGCCGGGCGGCGCGGCTGCGCGACACAGCCTCGTCCATCCTGCGCTGCACCGCCCCCAGCGCTGCCACCACGGCGCGCGTTGCAGGCGGCAGGTCGGCCACTGTGCCGGCCCCTCCCCCCGCCACGAGCTCGTAGTCATCCTCATCCTCGCTGCTGCCCCCGCCACGGCTGGCACCGCCGCCGCTGCCGCGGCCGCCACCCTGCAGGGGGCCCTCCAGGTAGAGGTGCGTGGCGCGCAGCACCACGGGGCCCGCCAGCGCGGCCAGCAACTCGGCGTCAGACTCCCGCTTGGCCTCGGCGCGCGCGTCCTGAAGCAGGGTTTGCAGGGGCGGTCGGGGGTGCAATGGAGGGGTGGTTCACGTGCTGGCCTCCTTATGGGCTGCCTCAACTTGGACCACATGCATGACTGGTCCCATCTGTGTGCGATAGTGATGCAGCTTGCAGTGATGCACATTGAGTGTCACCTGGGGGTGGCAGCGATCTGTGAAGCCCCTCGCTCCCATGCACCCCCTGGTCCCCACCTGCTCGTCCCCCTCCTCAAACTCGCCAGCTTCCTCTATCTCGGGGACAAGCCCGCGCTCCAGGTGAGCGGCAGCGCCCGCAGATTCGACCTCAAAGAAGCGAAAGAAGCTGGGGCACGGCTTGAGGCGTGTGCGCACGGGCGCATCATCGCCGCCGCCATCGCCACCGCCCGCGCCCTTTCCCTTGCCCTTCTTCGGTTTCTTGGCCTTCCGAGACACCTCCTGCCAGTGTCAGATGCAGCGCGTGCGGTCTTTTGCTAGGAGGAATGCACCAAGTCTGTTCAGGGATGGCGACAAGGCAGGATGCCTGAATCAGCCGTCCTGGGGTCCCTGGGAGCAAAACCCCAGGGGGTGCTGCGTGGCGGCTGAGGTGCGCCCGCCCCTAGCCACCTTGACTGTGAGGTTGTGAGCGGCGTCCTTCCAGTCGATGTGAGTGCCCTCGTCAACGCCCTGGCCGATGGCACGCCGCAGGGTCTTGTTGTGGAAGTACGGATTCTGAGGAAGGTGCAGGGCGGGGCAGCGGCAGCGGACCGGCCGTGGTGTGGATGAGGTGGGTGAGTGATCGGCGCCCTTCATGAGGTTTGGCACCACTCCCATGACCCACTCTGCGACTGCTGCAAAGCATGGGGACTGGCAATGAGAGACATCCACTTGTTGTAATCACGCGTTTATGGACCACCGCCAGGCAGCATGCCCGCTGCCGGGGACGAGGGCCATCGCTCCAGCCCCCCCCCC